AGAAGCAAAAGAAAGGATAAGAATAGATTTGAGGGCAAGTCGTTTCTCAAAGGGGGGGTGATGTAACGATCTGGTTTTAGGCTTAGATTAGTTATCTATTTACCCCACCTGGCAGGTCAAATCTCGCTTTGCTTTTGATTCTCTCCTGATCTCCTCCAGATCTATAAAAACCTCTTACAAATTCACTTTTTATATAATAATTTGTTATTTTCTAGTATCAATAATTGATTCATTTACTATCATGCCGTGAACCTGTTGTCGTCACATATTATCAGTTAAATTACATGGATAGCTATAAAATATAATATTATCAGCTCTCAGCATTACAGAGTATTATCAAAAAGAGTTGGTATTGATCTTACAGCTACCTTTACTTATAATACTAAGCTTACTTTAACAATTGGTAAAATGATTATACTAATAATAATAAATGTACAAAGTGTTTATAATATACTTTTTAAAAGACAGTTTTTATAATATATAAAGAAGCAGAATTAGCTTATAGTACTCTTACAATTTATTAATTCATTTCTGATTAAAAGATATATATATATAAAACTTAAAGGGATTATAATATAGGATTTCCTGATTGTATACGGTACCCCCTAGGGATTATCATTTTCCCTTATCCTGTATACCCTTTATCTTGCTAAGCTTTTCAATCAAGATAGAGCATAGTACTTTAAATATATTAATAATATAGCTATATATTATATATCTAAGAATCTATTTATAAATATATATATACTTCATCAAACCATTCAACACATTCTACAATAAGGAAATTAGAATAAGATCTTTTTCGCTTTGGAAAAGTTTGAATTACTTTATATATCAAGGAAATATGAAATTATAAATCTAGCTATAAGAATAAGTCGAAATCTAGTTATTATACTAACTCTTTTAAAGCTTATTAACGGAATATAACTAATCTTATATTAGCTTAACGTTTTTTTTAATTGGTGTTTAATATTCTTATAATATATCAAAACGCGCATTACAAAAACTATGTATATTACATCCCATATTTGATCAATAGCTTATACAGCTTATAGACTATCTACAGTCTGTTTGCGAAAAGCAATTATTATCTGTATACTTCTTATCGCTCTTTTCAGCTTCGAAATATAATTCGATGGGCTATATAAATAATGCCTAAATGCAGATTATATTCTGATTAGTATTGGGATTAAGAAATATATCAATCTAATTAGTAAGATAATTCATAATATAATATAAGAAGCTTTATCTATCTATAAGACAACCCTAATAACCATACTTTTTATAAAAGCTAATCTCCCAATTGGAATTGTTGTATTAGAATAAGCCAAATTGAGATTTGTGTTTCGGCTTTAGATAATGGATATATAATATTTATTTGTAAATCAATTGAAGCTATATATTAGGAAAAGAGAATAAAGTATAGATATTCTGAAAGATTTCAATACAAAACTATAAAGAATGGGATGGGCGATTTCTGTTACTAAACGTCTCAGATTTTTATAGTCTTACTTTTCTCCTAAGTATTGTATTGATTTAATAAATAATATAAATAAAAAGAATATTACAAAAATATTTAAAAAATAATGAGATTTAATCCCCCAAGAAAACTATTTTATATTTTCAGATAGATCTGAACAATATAATGAATACAATCACTACATGGAATATGACTTTGCAATCTATTACGGCAAATAATAGATCGATAGCGACTATAGTTATATATGTGAATAATCATATATTTTTAATACTGAAATAATCAGTATATAATAGGGACTAGAATGTTTTCTGAGTATTATTGATTACTCTTATTAGAGACAAATATGATTATATATTGATAGCATCTCAGTAATCTGGGGAATACAAGGAAGCGCCACTGCCTCCTCTTAATGGATATATTACAAATATTATTAAGCGATATAATATTACAATATTATAATCAAGTAATTCCCTGGGTATATTGAGATTGAGAGTAACGAGATAGTCGATCGCCTTATTGATTAGAGTATGGCTGGGCTGTTTGATCCTAGTTTATTTTGCTTTTCTATAGTCAGCAGCTCCCATTTTGTTCTATATGCCAAATATCAGTACTCCGAGAACAGATAGTGAAAGGAAAAAAGAGGCTTGATCTTCGAAATATACAATATATGGAAATCGGCATATAATACCTTGAAACCAGAAAGCCTCAAGCTTTCTTGCAAAATACTATACAAACTTATAGCGATACGAACCGAATACAATGACTTTGTAGCTTATTATATCAAATTCAATCACAAAAATAGTATAAATATTTGTATATACAGAATTGAGAAAAGCTCATTATATTTCTTTCAATATTCAATCAATAATCAGATACATAACAACTAACCACTTATATCAAATCGATTTCAATCTAAATGAAATGCGATAGTATATATTAACCATATTCTATAAATATAATATAACTTTACTAATCTTCTTATTAGATCTAGATTCTATACTAAAATATATCTAAACTATACAAAACTATACAAATTGCAATCTACTTTAATACCCCAAGAATAAACTCTTTACCCTAATCAATCTAAAACCCGCACTGACCAGTTATAAACGCTTCGAATACTTTCCTAATCGATAGCGATCGATCTGATTATCCATCAGCATTTGGATAACATATAAAACAAGACTCTCTGAAACAAAACCACAAATCTTTAAACAAAATAGCTATAGGATCGTCATGAGCAGTATTGAATAGGGAAATATTAAAGGCAATAAGTCTCTGATTAACTAATATTATACTACTATAAGCAATTGGAATGCTAGCAGCCTGTAGGCCCACTCCTTAGTACATTTAGAATACCCCTTGGGAGGTTAGATATTAGATGTTAATCACTATAAATAAATAAATAAATAAATACATCTACAAGAAAGTGAAAATTGATAAGAAAAATAAAAAAAATAATGATAATAAAAAAGAAGTCTAGATTTTTAGAAACAAAAAGATAAAAAAAAGAATAAAAACAAACTTAAAAGCAAACCGTTTTTTAAAGGGAAAATAATATAACGATTTAGTTTTAGGTTTAAATTAGTTATACATTTACTCTACCCAACAAATTTAATCTCGTTTTGTTTTTGGTTCTCTTCTGGTTCTCTTCTGATCCCCTCCTGGTCTATAAAAACCTTTTATAGGTTTATTTTTTATACAATAATTTGTTATTCTCTAATATCGATAATTAATTCAATTCACTATCATGCCTTGAACCTATTGTCGTCACACCCTTGATTTGAGAATATGATTCGCTATATCTTTTATTATTCTAAGTTTAGATAAAAATCCTTTTTTATTTATATTAAATATATATTAAATAAATACTTTCTTTTCTAATTCAATCAAATTATAACTTTTTGATTAGTTTTTAGTTATATTAGATTTATTTCGAATTCTATTACTCAATATAAATCGAGATATACAATTGTTGGAAACCATATATATGATACTAAGCAGTATGCTAGTAACAAACATCTTTTTCTATTCTAATAGATTATGAGCCTAGATGGTGTAGTGATAGAGTATACGATATGAGATCGTAATATAAGGACCCATATCCGGCAACTTGCAATTAAATAGAAAAAGATCCATACACCCATTTGTATACAATCGGAACTAGAACCGATCAGCTTTGTATAGAAATGTAGAAGCTAGCTTCAAGGAAGAGCTATAGGGTATATTACTTAAGGGGGAGTATTGGAAACCATATATATAATATTAAGCAGTATATTAGTAACAAACATCTTTTTCTATTCTAACAACAATAAAGCTAAGCTATCTTTTGAATTATTAATTTTTTATTTAATTTAATAGCTTAAATAACTAAAATTATGTGTATTTCTTTAGAATAAATTTTCATAATTAATTATAAAGAAAATATATATTGAATATAGAATAATAATTCGAGGTAAAAATAACCGACCCACTGATATGGCCGACCCACTGTTAAACCACGTTATTATAAAATCATATTATCATATAGTTATATAATAGTATCTCTTATCAAATTGATTTATAATGGAATAGAATGAAATAGAACTAGATAGAAGTATATAGTATCAGGGAGCGACCAACTGACAGGGTTTATATAGTAGATCCACTGTTCCGAACGCATTCGGAACACTCCACGCTTTTATGGGTTAGCGGTAAAGTGGTCAACCCTAACATATAGGAAATATTGCTAAATTAATTGGTTGTACTTTTTTTTTATTTTTTTTATTTTTTTTTTATTATATAATGATTTTATAAGATTCGATTTAAATCGATTTTATTTATAAGTATAGAAAATACTGGAATTTCATTATAAACTATATAAACCTAGGATATTCTTTAAAGAAAACTTAGAAAAAGTAAGTAATTTTATCTTATTTAAGTCTAACTTTTTCAAATTGATTTCAATTTAGCCTTTATTATATATATTCGATTTATTCCTCAAGTTTAAATTGATTAGATCTTCTACTATTATTACAATAATAATTATTCTTATTATTATAAGAGCTAACCTCTTGACACTGAGCGGAGGAACACCAGAGGCAACAAGCTTCTGATTAGCTAACATTACACTACTATGAGCGGCGGGAACGTCAGCGGTCCGTAGGCCCGCTCCTTAGTACGTCTAGAATACCCTTCGGGAGGTCAGACATTAGACGTTAATCACTATAAATAAATAAATAAAAAATAAGAGCTAACCTCCAAGAAAAACCTTCTGATTAACGGCATTTTCTTCAGCTAGAAGGATAGCCAATGAGGAGAGATTGTCAGTTGGAACTGGTGGTTCTAAAGGCTGAATGAAGTATTTTATATTCAAGATCAATCGCCAGGCAAGGTATTGTCACATATGAGGCGATTTAGAGATCTAGTGCCGGTGAGAGGCTAAAGGGATCTAGTAATCCCAGCAATAAATTGGAACCGTCTTAAACACATCTATCGAACGAACTTCTCTCGCAGACGCTATTGAGTCACGAGTATAATATCATACATCCCCCTCTCGTGGCTGCCTAATGTGCGAGACTGAGTCAGCAGTGGCTGGAACAAAACCAAGTTCCTCCAACATCAACGCGATTTGCCTTTCGTGCCCGATCCGTCCTTGATCAATGAAGAGTACGCTGTGGTCATCGTACGGTTTGAGCTGCTCCGAGATGGAGCTTTCATCGGAGACAGCGCGCCATAATACGCTCGTAAAGAAAAACGAGGTCCCCTTGCCATACCGACTCTCCACCCGGATGTCTCCTCCCATTTGCTCTGCAAGGTCTTTGTACAAAGATAGGCCGAGGACTGAATCGCCATATTTCCGATATGGTGAACCATCTCTTGCCAGGAAGTATCAAAATTAAGTCAAGGTTGCCCTTCTGAATCTTAATACCATTATCTGAGACAACATCCTCTAGAGCTTGTTTTTCTGCAGTGGCGGGATCATGCTTTGCGATTTGAACCGTAATTTTGACTTCCTCCTGCTCTGCAAACTTGATGGCATTTCCAACCAACTTGATAATAACCTGGCGTAAACAAATGGGGTCTTCAATAACACGGTTTGGTATCGAGCTGTTTACCAGATATCGAAGTTCAACGTATTTTTCGTCCGCCCTCTTCGTTAAACGCATGAGTGCTTCCAATACTGTTGCTGGTAGTTGGTAAGGGATCTCCTTCAAGGTCACATTAACTGAGTCCATTGAATAACGGAAACCTCAAGTTTGATTTGGTGCTGTAGGATTTTCGGAGTCACTCTCGATTACGCATGATATTTATGTCAATGAGGAAGGGGTTGAAGGAAATGCGCAGTGAATAAGAACGCTGTACCTTCATATCTACCGCAATTTTATGATTTACAGATATACGATGAAATGTATCGGAATGTATCGGAATACTGTATCATACGGGTGGCGTGACTGAAATTATCATATCAGCTAAGCTAGAGAGTTGCTAATTTGCTTGGCGTGCTTTTCGCCTTTCTCCTTCTCATCCGGATAAACTCGACAACCTAATTATCTTGTGCTTTTTACCTCAGAACTAGGGAATATATTCTTTCTGAGCTTAAGTTTCTTACTGAAGCTTCGAAAGTCAGAGATTAGCTAATCGTTGTAATAGAGAATAGAGAAACACTATAAAGAGAAAGATTATAATAACATTCTTTATTGGACAAATTTTAGACTTATAATTTAGATCTAAAAATTATACTAAAAAAGATAATATGAATAGTTATATTGAGGAATTTCTAAGAGACTATAGATATTATAAACAAATTATTATTCTTTTTTAAGAAGAGTAGATATATATCTATCTATTTAATATATGATTTAAAGGATAATTGATTAAATGATTTATAGATTTACTGAATATTAAAATATGTATTACTAAGCTGAAGTATAGAATATTGTTGAAGAAATTCTTTATCAAATAAAATAAAACTTTAATATAAATTCTCGAAGTATTTTAATTGTCTACTACTCCCTATATAATAATCCCTTCATATTCATAACGAAAACGTTTTAAAATCGAGACTAAAATAACAATTTTATTGAATCTATTATAAAGCTTATATAACATTCAAATGATCGAGTGAAGAAGCGCGAGTTGTCAAAGAAGAAGAGAAAGATTTTATAATAATCTAAATAATAAATATTTAAATTTGAATTAATTGATTATCGAATTATGAATTTATCAAGATTTTAAAAAGATAGATTACTTCTAGTAATATAGATTTGGAGATAATCGAAATGAGAGGGTGACCGGGATATAAGCTAATGGACTTAAGAGTAATTAAATATTCTTTAAGGGATATGAGAATAATTTATTGTAAATTTAAATATCAAATATAAGACTAATGAGATGTAATTTACTTTGACTGTATGTAGTAGTTTCGAATTATTAAAGGAGCTTTAAGATCGAGTCATGCTGAGCACTTAGAATATCTTGGTTATCTTGAGGGCTAGTACTTCTTGATCTCAATGTCAATTAACAAATTTCAATTATTTGGTGGAAACTATAACTCATTAAGAGTTTTAAAATTGTTGCTGTGTTTAATCTATGGAGAACTCGCAGCAATATTGATGTACCCTCGGATTCCCACCACTGGTCCCGTGTAGAACTTTCTTGCGTACAATAAATAGTAAACAATACTGAAGAGAATAACAGATCCAAAGACCAATACACTATAGTTCATTGATGTTGGAGTAACTGTGGAGGTTGGTGGAAAGAAACTGAAGAAATTAATAATGACAAGAAATATACATGCGAATATGTTATTGGCGATGCCAAAAAACCCTTGGATCCTCCAAGGTCCCCATGTAAGTTGTTCCAGTGGCGATATAGTTTCTGAAATATCTTCGGAAGGGGTCTTAATACTGTTATTGATGCGACGGTATAGAAGAAGTCCGGCGGCCATGAAATAGGACGAGAAGAGACCAGCTAGGACAAGTGAAACGATATCGTTGAAAGCCTTAGCGCTAGCAATTATAATTAACGCGAGGAGGCATGGACCAACTGTGACGAGGGAAATAGCTTAACTTTTCTTTGTTCAAAGAATGTTGATGAAGAATTTCTCGAAGAACTTACTCGGCCTATGCTAGACCAGAAGGGGACAACTCGATCCCCTACTGCCTATGTGAAGATCTCTATGAAAGAATACCCAGTAGGACTCTCAAAGGCTGCGGTCAATTCGCCTGCACAGAACAGAGTCGCAATAAGCATACCAAAAGCAAGAACACCATTAATCATAATGCTTGCGATCATGGCTCGGGAAACGTTTATGCGAAGATTTTTAATTTCTTCAGACATCTGTGGATTTACGTCAGTTAATATTGCGTGTGAGTCGAGAGTTAGGGATATTGTTTTGACATACATGAACGGCCTCATCACATCCGAGGAAAGCAACAGCATTTCCAGCTAATCCAATGAAAAATGATAGTCCGGCTGTAGGCCACTCTCCGCCATTTATGAAAGTTGTCAAGATTTATTTCGCATCTCCTCGAGGCCCAAGTTGTACCAGAGAAATGAGCACGGCAAAAAGTCTAACAATTTGGATCATGAGGATAAAGCCTTCAAGCTTGGGTAGTGTTGCGTTGAAGAACACCTTGACGAGGACTGCGAGGATTATTACGAGCCAAAGAATTAGTGTTACCTGATAACTCTTTGGTACATAATCCCAATTGTTCTGAATTACCGATGCTTGGATCAAATTGCTGCAAAAGAAATTTGATGTTGCAACGCTTGCCAACCAACCGATACAAGTGAGCCATCCTGGTCGCTCTTTAGCAGAGTTGCGATCCAATTTCAAACTTGGGAACTTACCTGCAACATAAATCATTACATTCTTGCTCTCCGAAGGGGCTAACAAATATACCCAATGATATTGTCCTCCAGCTGTAGATATCATTGGTGTCAATTCCTCCATGACCCCAAAGACTGATAATGTACCTACCCAAATGTAAAGGAATGCATATATGAGACCAGCAGTGCCTCCACCACGACAGTGATCATTAGCTTGAGAGATTGATACAACATCAAATATTAAACTTTGCCTAACTTTTCGTATCCAAGTGCAAAGACTCTGGAAGCATAGTTAGATCAGGATAATACACAGAGCTATAAGATCAATGGCTTACATGAGGACCCCTTCCCAAGTTGACATCAAAGTGCATGCCAATCCAATCATACTCACCAAACCAAAGTTCCGCTACTATGATCAGTTCTGGGCATTCAGTTGAATTGAGGCAGACTATACTTTTGTCACTTGCTGTTTACCAATCCTCGCCAGGTATGTCGCATCTGGGTCGTTGAGATCATGGAGTTCCGCCGATACTGCAGTTTTTATTGAGTACTCATACGTTTGAAGCCTATCTGTGAGTGACATTGTCACTACCCAGTGATGTGTTGGAAAGAGAGTTAAACTACCGATAAGTCAATAATGACTACAGTGATCAAGATACCCTATGATGAGAAGTGCTCTTATGCAACAAAGCACTGACAGAAATTAAATTTAAAATCTTCACGAATATCGCTTAATTTCCACGCGACTGTGCCTCTTCCTTTACGATAGAACAAATGAGAGACCACGGCTTGGTAATTGGAATATTAGTATATCCGCGAAAAGCTTGCATACCTCTCAGCTGCACCAGGAAATAACCTGGAATTCCCCGAATGACACTCATCAAGGGTAATATGGTAGAGCAGACAAACTGCTATGGCAGAAATACTCACAATTCAAGGAATACTCACCGAAACTTCTCGAAACTAGTATGAGAGCTACACTGACAGCTTTAGATAGCTGAGAATAGCAGCGGATATATCGTGTTAACATGGCCCAGTGGTCAGGAGGAGACCCCAACCGCGCACCTACGGAACGACCTCGACGACTTTCCACTTTGGACACGACACGTGATTATCAAAGCTAGCCCAAAAATAGATTTTTTCTTTGCATGGATTTCTAACCTCTGTTGAACAACGAAAAACAAGATGCAATAAACCCGGAATAACCTCTCACTAAAGTAGAGAAGCACTTCAGTATCTCTGATAAAGTACTGACCATCGGCTGTAACGATGATCACAAATCTTCTCCGCTCGTATATGACATCCAGTGGCTGGTAGGATCTTGCTCGTGATAAGACCAGAGTCTGACCTTAGACTCGGCAACAGCTTTGGCGTATCCCTCTTCGGTTGCCTCGGAAATTGGGAACAGGATATTCATGAAGGATGTATAGGGATCATAGTTGGAGTCCCAGAAACAATCAACGACAGCGCTGAATTCGGCTTGAGTGGTGACTTATTTGACGATTGGTTCCATGATTCTGGTTAAAAGTCAAGTAATATTTATTGTAAATATGTTTTTGACGTTTTTGCTTGCAAGGTAAAGAAAGGATGTCGATTTTGGATCCAATGAATACTCGCGCAGACCATATTGACCTTCCTATTCTGTAGTAAAATCGCGCTCTATTTTGGTTCTGGACAATAAGCAGGGATCTCAAGAATATCAGGGGTCGAGATGAAGACAGATAATAATCTCCACGAACAATGGCGCAACGGGAATTTCTTGCATGATTCAAGGGTCAAAGATATTCCGTCAGCAAATTATTGTCCCGGAGGTGTGTGCCAAGAACGGAAAGGAGCTGATGGACTTGAACCATATGTGGGTCAATGCACCTAGCCGGCTTTTTCAAACGGGAATGGTAAGCTGTAATTCCTCCTCGCTAAAGTTCGATTGAAAGCATCTGGACATGGTAGACGTCAGCGCCTGGCGTCTACCGGATAAGTCGGATGACATATACCTGATTTGGTTAAAAAATCATCCTTGCGCTGATCAAATCAATATAATTTGCACCGCATACAATAGTGCGGCCGTATCTACCAAACTGTCGGGACCAATTAATCAACGACAAAAGATCCTTAGCGAGCTTCCACCCCCCTGCCACCCAACAACCACCAACAACCTCCATGCAGGTCTTGAAATTTTCACCGCCAGTTTCCATCATGCTACTTCATATCGGCCCTTCCGAGGTAACTCATTGCGACTCTGTCTGCTCCCATGATGAATCTATGCCTGAAATCTGCATTTTTGTTGACGTGATATGATTGGGAATCTTGGGTTCCTTGATAGCGCGCTTATTCATCGAGCTTGCTGTGTCACAAAAATTTAATCTAAACGATCTTTTCTTAGGAATTGCATTGGTGAACTCTAACTCACTATTCCCTAAGGTGCCAGCTGCGGCCGGGAAATGTGATCCGTGCATAAATAAGAATATCAAAAACTTTATCAATATAAAAACTATTCAATTAGAATTTAAGATTAAAATTTATTAATATAATAATAATTAGAAATTTAATTATAAATTCAATTGTTTTATTTCAAGAACAAAATAAACACAATTTACAATTTCAAAAACTTTTAGATTACAACATTTTGATTGGCTGATAAGGCATTATAAGCGAACCCGGCTGTAGCTAGTACCTTAGGGAATGATCTACTGATCATAAACACCGGAGAGACCGATTTTGTGACTTTTTGTAAGGGCACCTTATGCAGGAAATGGAATAGTCATATCTCTCAAGTCCTCGAATGGGCTGGGAGCCCGGACAAGCTTAAGTTCAACTTCTCAGCTGCTCACGGCCCAAAAGGTATATCTCTCGACAATTGTTCCGTCTGAAATTCTCTGATAAATTTTGTAGTTGCAATATGCAGCTGATCTATGTCTGGTTCTCGGACTTGGCTTGATGAAACTATCTGCCATAGCATTCCTTTATGATTTAACACCAAACATTAATCAACGTCGAATTTGTCTCATTTTTGGAATCTTGCTTTCGATAGGTATGGAACGTCGTTGCCCTCATCGTAGCAGTTTTGGAAGCTTGTCATCATGTTTGGGTCGTATTTGATGATGCCAAATATTCCAACAGAGCAAGTTAAAAGACGAGTCTTTGGATCGATTGAGAGCTAACAAAACCATCTAGTAGCCATTTTGGGTTGCTTTCCTTATCCTTGAAATTATTTTCAACATCTTGTTGACAATAATCCCTCTCGCAATCATATGGGGTCTTCGTGTGAAGACACGTCAAGGATTCGCCACATGGTTCTGTTTTGGATCTCGAATACTGTGAGCAGCCTCTCCTCATATACTTGGTCTTTTTTTTCTAACATTTCCGAAGAATTCCCGGTGTCCTTGTGGCTCAGTTGGTCTTAATTTCGCAATCGTACAAGTCCTCGGACGTTTTGCTTACTCTTTGGGAGCCCGCGATTACTTCTCAAATAGTTCTTAGCCTTTCTTGTCTCCATCCCAGCATGCCGTACCTAAAGCCATTCCTCGGATCTCTCGACAGCGGCATGATAAGAAATTATGGAATTCACCGGCTTGGAGAATTCGAGACGAACGCGAAGACCTATACTTCTTCCGTTGGCATGAAAATCTTGAGTCAGAACCGTTATAAACAGAGTACAAGTAAAATTGCGAAAAGAAGTTTGATAAGTGAAGCGATTATTGAGCTTGCTAGGACAGTTGATGGTGGCAAAGAGATTGGATACGATGATGGGGATGCCACACTCAGCTTGAATAGCACTTCTAGTGAGAGTAGGGTGATAAAGAAGACTACTTCCCTCATTGTATATCTGCCGCTTCCTCACTTCAACACCAAGCATTGATGCAAAAGGGAACGGCAGAGCTCTTTATGTGGCCTTTAATGTTGTGGTTGTACGATTAAAGTGTACATATGTTGAGGTGGTGGAAACGGTAACGCTCATATCGGTGGACGTTTAAATGGGACCCCCATCAAGCATGTTTTGATTCCGCTGCGAGCAGTTTCTCTGTCACCAGATTTAACGCCAGGCGGCACAGAAACAGTTTCGGCTTCTTTTTGACGCGGTCTACCTCAAGCAAGATTGACTGACCAAATGAGTGGTAAGTAATGGATTTATTCTGTTACCTAAACCCCATATAGAGGATGTACTTCAATTACCCTTGTAGGTCTACAACAATCCATTTTTGATTGATCTCGTAGATCTTTGAGTTTACCACCTCTAGTTCGGCCCTGACGCCTATCCAGCGCGCTTTGATATTATTACCTACAGTCAGTTCTAATAGAACTTGGGGGAGGAAGAGCCAGTACGATTTGGAGAAAAAGAACACCTGATTTTCCAATCGGCTCCGCCCGCACTATCAAGCTCGTATGGCCTCTCCTGGCATAGAGCTCTACCCAGGTAAGCTAAGAAGAGGAAAAGCCAGGAGATTGTGACTTATGCCACCGGAGAAACAATTTCGGTTTCCACCACAGAACGTGCACTGTGCTCTGCTCTAAGAAATTGATTTCCTTGTTGACGAGCTCCATGTCATATGACCAGAGCAGCTTCGCCAGCACGAGGTTCAGCTCCATCAAGGCAAAAAGCTACACGCAAAATTGTGAGTGATTGGTTATTTGAAGTCTTGGGGAACAAAACTGGGCTGTGGTAACTTACTTCCGTCCCAAGCAATCTCGGGGCCCAAGCAAGAACGGACGACTGGCATCCTTGATGTCCTTTGAGTTGGGGTCCAACCAGCGCTCCGGCTTGAATTTCCAGGGGTCTGAGAAATACTTGGCGTTATGGGTAATGGACCAGGGGCTGACGTTGATCTCGGTCTAAGGTGCCGGTAGGACTGATTAGCAATCTGAATAGCACACAGCACGGCAAAAACAGTGAGACTTACCCCCTTGGGAATGTATTTGTCATGTAGCGTAAAACCAGGCGAAACTCTTGGCGCACCACCAGAGGCAGGAGGGAAAAGTCTGAGACCCTCGTTGATGACGGCTTGCAGGTACGGTAGTTGCTGAGACTTGACTGCATTGATCTCCTTGAAAGTCTTAAACGCGGAGCGGATCTCTTTGGTGAGCCGCTCAAGCTTGTCAGGGTTCTGAGCGAGGAAGCACGTCAGGCCGGACAACGTAGTCGCGACGGTCTCCCCACCAGCAATCCTGTCAAACAACAAATCTTTCAGCCAGTGTCTTATGAGATGATGATTGTGAGAATACTTATCACATACGTAAGGGTCGAGACATGAGCCGTCATCTCCTCCTTAGAGACTTCTCCCGCGCGAACTTTGTCGACCAGCAGACTAACGAAATCGTTACGGGATTCTTTGATCTCGAGACGCCTAAGAATGCTTGATCAGTAAAGCTCGAGTTTCTAGACCGTTTTTTCGACTCACTTCTCGACCTGCTGCCTGCTATAGTTCGAGTTCTGGTTACTGGTGACGAGCGAGGCAGGAATAAGCAGTCCAGCAAGCTTGGCCAGCCAGCCAATGCGCCGCAAATTGTCAAACAAGGTTATTATGTAGAGATGCTCGAGGACAAGATCTGCCCAGAAGTGCGGGATACCTATCGTTGGTGTGGGTCAGTGTTTTGTCTCTCCACGTAGAAGATATGCCTCGGGACTTGCCTGTATCTAGACTGTGAAAACTCTCCCCAAAGGCCATCTCGCCCAGAATGTCAAACGAGTTCATTTCATACCACTTTGTCATGTTTAATCCCTTGGTACCAGGACCCGCTTTCTCTCCCAAAATGTGGACGAACTTGTCAATTATTCCAGAGATTATCTCCTCCTGCTCAAGCAGTCCACGCTGGGAGAAGGCAGGGTTCAACATCTTGCGCATCAAAGAATGCTTCTCCGGGTTGCGCTCGCTGCCGACGCATTTGCTGTTAAAGCCGGCAGCAAAAACATCATAAAAAGGTCCCTTTAGTGCAATCTCATTGCCCCTTGTGGGGTGGCCGTAGATGGCCTTCCAGGACTCCACGCTGGCGAACGAGAGCTCGTTTGGCGCAATGCGTACGATATCGCCTAAGAACCCGTATCAGAAGTACTAGAGTATACCATAATCTGGGATGAAACAACAAACCATATTTCCTGTGGGCGTCTGCTACTGCAGAGTGGATCCTACCCCGAGAGCTATGGATGAAACGGTAAAACTGCAGAATGAAGTCCCTGGTGAGAACCCAGATCGTAGTAGTAGACTGCTGACTTTCAGATGACTTACGAGAGAGCAACGACCCAAGAATGGCCCTGGGAACCGGGCAAGAGGATGAAACCACGAATTGTAGCTCCACACGACGATGAATCTACATAGGATCTGTATTCGAGAGTTACAAAAATTAGCCAACGGCTTTGTGATGTGCAATCATGAGCTGCACAAAGAGAACTTACAATAGTTGCAAGGAATCTGGCCACAACCTGCCAATTCAACGTCTCCAATTTGATATAGCCTCCCAGTAGACTGTCGACGACAGGCCAACCGGTCTTAGGCTCCAGAGTGGTGCTTGTGACGTTATACTCGATCATGTTCACTTTCTCTGATTTATGTTACCTGCTATAAGTCGATTTCTAACACCAACAATAAATATCTACCAAGTGCTACACCCAGCTGCTGGCATGGCACCCCGTTCGTAGTCGCCTCGGGCGCCTAAATTGCCGCGGTATCCACCGGTATATTCCCGAATAGGACATTCCGGTTCGCCCGAAGCCCAGAAAGGTAATCAACCAGTCGCCGTCATCCACTTTTGTATGCGTATGGTCCCTGCACTCTGTTCTCGATTTACATGGATCGGACTTACCTTGATTGTATTTGCGGTCCCGCAACTTTCATCGGAAGCTTCCAATGTTTCTTTAAGGTTAGCGACTCGACACCTATTCGGTTCCTGTTCGTAGGTTAGCACACAAATGTGTCTGCGACGGCCCTCACTTTTACCTGTATCTTGATAAAGCTCATATCGCGTCGTTATACCCTTGCGGTTGGCCGCGCGTGGAATTTTCTTGTTTCATAGTCTCCGCATGAGGTGGGAATACCAAGCAAAAGATTAGATACCACAAATAGTTGTCGGAAAGCTATATTGTTGCATTGCATATGGAAAAACTTAGGATGAAGGGTCTTCCTGCCTGGCTGGCCCGTAAGAGATCGCCGTGGATGAGTCACGTGGTAAAGAAGTGTGCTGGTACCTTTCAGGCTTAGCTCAACTTAAGCGTAGACTTATTACGGGTCCGAATATAGTTCGTTCTAAAGGGATCATACGAAAAACGGAATCCATCTTCACCATCAATCCTATCGTTGGAAAAGGACTGATTGATCTAATCATTTTCTATAGCTAAACGCAAGCCTACACTCACGGTTATAGAAATGAAAAAAAGCTGGGATATAAAATCGATGACTTAAATTACTCCGATCTTAGATCTATTCTTAATATATCTATAACCTTAAAAGAACTAAAAAAGAATTTGAGAAGTATGAAAAATAGAGATTTTATAAAGACACTATATTAGGACTTTTACTCTTAATTTACTAAATATGTTATTTCAGTAAAATATCATTATTGTCACGGTGTGAGATCACGTGGACATATTGGTCCCCTCGGAGGGGACCGAATTGGGCGCTCGCACCGGAGCGCAAGTGAGCTAGGGCCCGATCGGGCTAGCTCGCTTAGCAAAATCCTGTATATCTTCAACTTGGAAGATCCTGTATCATAGCTCTTTGAGCTACGTCTTAATCCTCAATCTGAACCTATTACCCGAATCAGTATAACCTTGCCAGATTAGGGCAAAGTTATTAGAACCCTATCCAGCCCGCCTGCCCCGTGATAATTATTTAAATTCAATATAACAAATACCAAAACAAAGAAAATTCTAATAAAAATATTATCTAATAAATATTATAACACACATGGAGAATTAAATTACAATTTAAAACTTATCAGAATAATATGATGTATTCCAATTTATTAGATTTTAATGATTCTAACCAATTAATATATTCAAATTTATATTATTCAACAATTATTAAATAAATCAAGATTAAAGTAGTTTATATAATAATAGAGCTCATATGTCATAGTATGGGTAAAGACTTATATTGTACCATAAGGGTAGAAAAGCTATAGAAAAAGTGAAGCCCTATTTATAGGAAATAGGGCGCACTAATATTCTGTATCTGAAATACAGAGGTAACTATATGTCACGGGGTGACACTAAGCCCTTTCTATCCTGTCTGTTCTGTCCTACTATATATGTAAGAGTAAGGTAGAACTTTCAGTTCTACCTCCTAGTCTTTTGGGTGTTTAGCTTAATGGTAAAGCTTCTAAATATTCCCAGAAGTGATTTGTGATATTAGATAGAATTATCTTTGGTTATAAGTGGAGTTATGTGGGGGGCTTACTTATAGCTTACAAGCCTTCATTGGTTTGAGGATTAGTATATATAGATCCTGTCTGTTTGTCTGAATACCTGAGGCATTAGAATCCAGAATCTGAATCCTGAAATCTTCTAGTAGGTGATGGTATGGAGATCATACCTTAAGGAGGGGGGTAAATATCACGGGGTAACATTAAGCTCTTTCTATCCTGTTCTGTTCTGTTCTACTATATATGTAAGAGTAAAATAGAACTTCCAGTTTCTACCTCCTAGTCTTTTGGGCGTTTAGCTTAGCGGTAAAGCTTCTGAATACTCCCAGAAGTGATCCCGTGACAAAATGCTTTGAATATAGTTTATAGGGAAGCTACAAAAACCTATCTGATTAATAAAGATTTTCTTTATCTCAGAAATTTCTTACCATCCCTTTTATTTCTTTAATAGTTTTCTGATTATTTAGACCTATAATCTAATAAATATAATAATCATTGGATTATTGTTTTATTTAATACCAGTTTTTATAATATTTAATTTGTTTTATTCACCAATTCCGCTATTTTATGATATCTTAGTTTTCAATCTTATTTTTTTCAACTTCAATATTTTTTCATTTACCTATAGTTCGTATAATATATCCTGTTCTACAGATTAATGTATATTATTAAGCATAAATCGATTGTCTTTCTTTTCGATTATTGTTTTTATATGATTTTAATTTCAATCTTTTATATCGATAATGATTATACTAGTAATTGAGAAAAAGAAAAAATATATAAGGAGCCGGAGGGTTATAAAGATTCAAAGGTATTGAGTATAGAAAGCCAGAGGTTCCAAAGGGAACCGGAGGCAATCCGAAATTATATATAAAGAAGAAATGGATAACTATAATAATAAGAGAATATATATTACTATATTTAGATAGAAGATAATGAAACCATCTCCTACATTCTTTATAATAGAGATCAGCAAGACCAAGATGATTAAGGGTATCACCATTAGTCTTGTGTCCCTTCTTGAATATGTTCAAGAGAGAGAGGAAGAGTTATAGAATATACTCTATAGAAGAACACCCTGGCATTCCATTATATAGAAAAAGTATACAATATCTCCTATACCCTTGTAAAGGAAAGTAAAGATTAAGGGATCCTATATGATTAGGTGTAATTATATAGGAGACTGTATCCCAGTTTCTCTACTAAAAGGAAAGAGCTATAAAGGTACAGGCTCTATAGATCAATAGGCATCATATCATCAGTACAATCCCTATACCTTAGAGAAGTGTCTACACTAGGTATTGGGTAATCCTAGAGGAGAGGTTTTTCTTTAAAAAATTGATTAAAGATATTGGTTCCTGGAAGAGTGTGTGAGATCTGATCCATTGATCCTATAGCGGTTTTTGATAACTACAATCTCAAAGCGCTTTCTAGCATCCGTTGGAATCAACTCGCTAGCTCCAAAGCACTTGTTAGCGACCCTCGAGATTCACCGAATGAGAGTGATCAAACGCTACATACATACCTATACGATATAGATCATGCCGCTTAACTTGATTGAGATCAACTATAGCCCCGACTTACGACATAACGCCCCATAGCTTTCGATAAGCTACATAGCTTTAGATATTGCAATATCAGCATGGAGGAGTGTTAGAAAAGGTGCTTATACCGCATATCACGCTATACTATATCGGGATTAGCCCGCATGTGACTCTGTTCGAGTCCACACATATATATCGTATTGTCACGGTGTGGATACACGTGATCGATAAGCGATAAGCTAGGCCCTGTTAAGCTAGCTTATAAGTGAAAATTCTATATATCTTTATATTGAAAGATTCTATATTGTAGCTCTTCAAGCTATATCTTAGTCTATACTCTGTATCTATTGTTTTTAGCACCATTGAATATAAATTCCTAATCCCGTCTGTTTGCTTTGTGATACTATATAGGCTTTTATCAATACTATTTAATAATAATATCAATTCCGTATCCGCCTCGTTATTCGGAGGATGTCTTTGAGCTTAATATAATTGTGGTAGAGGATCTTCAAGCTTAATATTAAAATCTCCAGTCAGCAGTTGTGTATACTGTTAGATTGAAAAAAGCCAATCTGTTTTTCGAATATAAGATTCGAGAAGTGTTTATTAAGAAATGTATTAAGGCTTCTTTATATAGCAAATCATTATATAGAATATTTGTTTATTCAATTGTCTTGTCGAATCTGTATTTATTTTTGTTATACTTTTTGAAATAATATCTGCTGAATTATTTTCGAATTATTTGATATTATTATATCTATTTTATTTATTATTATTTATTTGAATAAATATATTCCCGATTTTAAAGAATTTGATGGTTTTCGATCCGATTGTAAAAATTTGTTTAATAGATATATATAAAGATAAACTTGAATTCCGATTGTTTCTTTATTATCTCTACTTATCTGATTTATATATTAGAAAACTTATTAAAAAAGCTTACGAACTGATTCTCCTCAAGATTATCTATAATATCCTACAATTCACTAACTATAGCCTGTTTTTGAAATATTTAGAGAACGCTTTTGGGAATTCCGATTACAAATAGAATATTTAGAACTAATTATATCTATTCAAACAAAACATTTCGATTTTAGTAATTTATTTTGTGAATTTTAGAGATTAGTTTTGAAAAGCGAAATGTTTAATAATACTCTAACCCTATTATTATTTAAAAGAATCTTCCAAAAACTATAAGATATACTGTTTTTATAACCTACTCTTGTTTTATAATTTCCAAAATACTCGTTTATTTGTTAACAATTTGATAATCGGTTTTGTTAGTATAGTAATAAATCTTTCGGAATTGTTTTATCATTTTTGTTTTTATTAGGAGAAAGACTTTTGTTTTGTTATTCGAATCTGTTTGTAACTTTGTAATCCAATTTTCCTATACAAGCAAGACCGCCTTTTCTGTTTGTTTAGGAAGGAGATTATTGAATCTTAGTTTTCAATATTATATTACTGGTAATGATTTATTTTGAAAAGAATGAGAAGAATATTACTGCTATGGCTCTACTGATTACTTGATTTGAGACTGTCTGTATTCTGATATCTACCCTATCTAGTTCAAAATTAGGACTTTTAATTTATTTAGATACAATCCTATTTCGAGAAGTTTATCAAA